TGGCTTTCGCCCCAGACGACTCACTTGATTTTTGACAACCCTTAGGCTGTAACTACTTGTTAGATCCTTCTTGTGTATCTCTGTCTTCCTGAGAAACCACTTTGAAGATACCACCATGTATTAAGCAGTCATTGATATTTTCCTACTAATCTATCCATAACTCTGTAATGTTTGTATTGTTCCTATCCTATTTCATAAATGGATGCATGTTTATTATTATGTGTTTCCTACAACAACCAATGAGAATTATTAAATGATTATTCAGTAGGTCACTCATGTATAGTTAGTTCTATTTATATTCTTTAGAAGCCACTTTGAATATACCTAAGTATAGTACAACTATTGATAATCTCCTACCTCTTTTGTCTGTAACTCACTATCATTTGTCTATTTGTTTTCCTGAGAAACTATCTTGTAGATAATAATAATGTAAAACAATAACCACTGATAATTTCCTACCACTTTGTCTGTAATTTGGTAAGCCACCCCTATTATTATGTTATCTTTCTTTTACTCTTTAAAATAAAAAAAAAAAATTAAAAAAAAAGTTTTAAATTGTGGTAGTTATTAAGACAGAGCATTTGAACTGAGGCTTGTGTTTTGTCTTTGTCATTGTATAAAATACCTGACCCCTACAACTAAAGGAGGAAGGGTTTATTTTGGCTTACAATTTTAAAGTTTTAGTCAATAATGGCTGACTGGCTCATAGGCAGGAGAGTCATGACAAAGGGCATGGTAGAGGAAAGCTGCTCAACTCGTGGCACTTGGGAAGCAGAGAGCAAAGGAAGTGGACAAGGACCAGCTGTAGTACCCACGATCACAGCCCTGTGGCCCACGTAGACCCTAGAAATGTGCTTTACTCTTAGGCTTCTCTTAAGCCACTGAAGTTGATAATCAAGTGTAACCATCACAATTTATTTACTCATATTAGTATCAGTAGTTTTAAATTATTAAATCTGATCAGTTTTTTTGCAGTATTTTGTAACAGTTTCTAGAAGTGTTTAGTAATTTGTATAGTCTTTAGAGTGGAGGTTTATTAATTTTATTTCTAAATTGTCAATGGAAAAAGTTCTAATTTTTCCTCACAAAGGTTTTAAAAGTAATATTTTGTTATTGTGTACACACTTGTATAAGTTATTTTCAATAAAGATTTATTTAAGTGTGTGCATGTGCATGTTTTAAAAACTAGATGGAAGATAATGCTTTGTATTTCAAAGGGGTTTCTTTTCTATCAGACTAAAGCTAAAATTTTGAAATTCCAATGCTTATTGTTAAACCTGTAGGCTAGTTATTAGAGAGGTGACTTGAATAGGATTTGTATTTTATTTTATTTTACTTTATTTTTTTATGTTGTGAAACATTTTATTAATACAAAAAAATTCAGTTCATTCTAATGGTTTTTTCTCAAAGGATTTATATTTTAGTTATAATCTTATGATTAAAGGATATTAGTGGCATGTGAATATTTGATTAGCTTAGAGATTGCAAATTCCAATAACTGAGCCAACTGAGAACTCTAAATTATGTTCCTTGTAAAACTGACTGGTCATGTTAATAGAATATCTGAAGAGGAATAATATAGACAAGATGATTTTTATTCTTCAGTAATTTATTCATGGTCCACTTCCTTCTAAAAGGAAATTATAGTGGCCAAAGTACATTTTTAAATGTCTAACAAGAGATGATCTACTGAATAACTTTTGTTATAATCATGCATTTGAATAAAGTGTTAAGCCTTTAAGGATGATGCTACAGAGAGAAGCATTTATTAATTTGAAGACGTGGGGAAGATGTTTCATGTATGTGTATGAGATATACAGTATATTAAAACTGGAATATACAATAAAATGTCAATTATGTTAACTGTATTAACTGTGGTTATCATATTTGTGTGATGAACTTATGTATATCTTTTATGTGTATACTTGTACATTTGCACTTTTTGTATTGTGCTGCTTCTCAATTTGATAGCCAGGAATAATTTTTATATTAAACAACAACCATTTACTCAGATAAGGAAGAGCTAGCTTAAGTGTTTAAGAATACTGAATTCAGTATTGTGTAATATTGGCTCACAGTGTGTTCTGGTTGCCATCATAGATTTGTAATCTTAGGCTATCGTAATAGATAGAAATGTATAGATGAGAGAAGGAATAACAAATCTATGAAATCTGTGCAAATTCTGCTTCCCTGTCTTTACCTTTCTCTCTTACCTGAAAGCTGTAGTATTTGTCCTTCAAGAATTCATTAGTAGAATTCAGACTTTTTCATTCCTATTCTATAGGCTCCTTTTCTTCTTTACTCTCACTTGAGTACCTGGTGAGGTCCTTGAATCTTTTTTCTATGATCTCTGTCTCTCTTTTTCTTTTTCTTTTTCTCTTTTTCTTTCTCTTTCTCTTTGTCTCTGTCTCTGTCTCTGTCTCTGTCTCTGTCTCTGTCTCTCTCTCTTCTGCTTAAAGAAAGCTGCATTATCTGAGGGGGCTGGGAAAGGGAAAATGTGAGAATGGGACTCTGGAATGCAAGCAGTGTGATCTGAAACACCTAGTCAGTGCATTCTGTTTACAGCATTTTAATAGAATAATTGGGGTTCATAAATAATTTATGGTACCTCAAATTTTAGTGGCACTTGACAAGGAACCTTAAATGGCAACCTTCAAATACTTTGAAATGTATGAATCGGGTTCTTATCTAATAATAACATGTGAATTATCTAAAGACAACTATGAGCCTAAGGTTCCCACTGACGGTAACCAGGAGCTAGGACTTGAGACATAGTGATGTAGCCAACTCCTAAGCACAGAATTATTGTGTAGAATTGAGTGCCTGTACAGACCAGCCTAATGGACATAGCCTGATAATTTACAGAAGTGCTCAACTACATGGACAGCAGAATAATGCAGGTACTCCTCAAAGGAATCTCTGATTCAGACGGAAGGAAGCGCTGAAAGTAGCAGCCAGTGACTGCTTGTCTTCTGTTACTTGTCACTTGGGGACACTGGCTCTAGGCAGATGCTTATTTTGGTAGGATCCTTCATGGGAAATTACTTTTTAGATAGTAAAGCTCTTAGAGATTCGATTTGTGACTTATAAGGACAATGTTGATGAAGGCAGAGCTAGGAAAAATACACAGCATTGTGGTAGTGCATCATAAAAATGAAGTGAGTAATGCGGTAGAATGAGTAACAATGAGTAAAATAGTCACACTGTACTCAGGCCATTGGGAGGTAGTGTTGGAGCAGATGCCTCCTCAGCAGGGGTCTCTGCTAGGAAAAAGATATTAATGGTGGTGTAGACAACAATTCTTACAGCCATTTCTGCATATTCAGGAATGATGAGTATGAAAACAAAGGTTGCCGGCCTTTGTGAGGTAAATGTTCAACTTCATAGTACGAGTAGCCTGCTGCTGCAAAATAACTGTGTTCTTTGCCACAACCTATAATGACTGCAAAGGCACACTCTTATTGTGTACCCCTGGTGCTTTGTCAAGATAATGTAAGTCCTTGGAAATGACATTGCCCATTTGTGTGACTTACTAGTAAAGGAACTCAATGGCAAGGTGAAAAGAGAAGATTATGTACTTTAAAAAAATAAATAAAAAAACCCAAGAAGATTATATACTTTAACTTTGTGTTTTCTCTCAAGTTCTGCCTTTATCTTTAGTTCCCTGTTCTGTGCTTCAGTAATGGTCTCTGCAGATCAGCCCACATTTTGGTTGTTGTGTTTGATTTAGATTGTTGCGTACATTCATCTTCTAACATTGTGGACATGCCCCGAGACATACATACTGCCTGCTTAGGCAGTTTCATTGTGTCAGCACCACAAGTCTACTTATACAAAGCTAGAGGACTTAAGTCATTCATTTGATTTGGGCTCTTGGTGCAGTCACGAGACTCAGTATGATCCTTGTCTATGGTTGCTGCTGGTGCATGCAACATATTCTACAGTAAAGTTTTCTTTTGTAAGTGCCCAGAGTGTAGTGTAACAATAAAAAGTATTGTATAGTGAATACCTAAATCAGGGGTCTAGTTGTTATCTAATACTAGGTACTGTACATAATTTCATGTGCTGTATTTTCATATGGCTGGAAGTAGACTGGGTTTGTTTACACCAGCATCAGTACAGACATGTGAGTAATCAATTATGCTTTGTCATTAGGACTGTAGTGATATCACTAGGTGATAGGCATTTTTAGTTCCATTATAATCTTATGAGACTACTGTTATGTATGTGGCCTGTTGCTGACTCTATTAAGAAATTATGCACAAGAACATAATGAAGGGTCTTGAAGATAAGTGATTCAAGAGAAGATGATACATGATAGGATTGCTAAGGTATGATAGATACAGTATGTAGATGTTATCATTAGTTCACAATTTTGACACTTGGCTGAAGTGCTCAAATAAGTTGAAATATGAACAGTGTTAACCACTATTACTTGAGGAGATTGTATTTTATTTTTTAAAAGAAAAGGTACTGCTGTGTTCCTGCAGATTTGGTAGGGATTGTGCTAAGGTCAGTGAAGTGCAAAAGAGACCTGATTGGGAAAACTTCAATGTAAAGGTGGTAGTGGAAGTCATCTCCATCATTTTTTTTTTATTTATTTCATCCACTTCTTATAATTTTATCAGGTACTAATAGTGATAAGCAAAAACACATATAGTCCCTTCCCTCTTAGACAAAGAAACCTGAATCTGATGAATCTTTACAAAATTTCTTGGAGACTTAAACTGGCATCTCAGCTAGATTGCTGTAGCAAGACCCAGGGTTGCAACTTGATCTTAAATTTTTCAAAAACGTCCTTTATACTACATTTGAAATGAATGAGAATATATGCTAACATTGAAACTAATGAGAGAGAGACAGAGACAGACACACACACACAAACTCAGAGAGAGGGAGAGAGGGAGAAATTCTGGCAAGGATTTCCTAGCCCAATAAGTAAAACAAAATCTTGGAGTAACATTTCTAAGATTTCTTTTATTTAATTTTAACAACCGCAGATATCAGGAGGCAATACAGAAGTGGGATGAAGCACTACAATTAACGCCAAATGATGCTACCCTCTATGAGATGAAATCACAGGTAATAATTATGAAGAATTTTATTTTCATCATGAAATTATGCTATGTTTGGTGAGTAATAATGAGCCAAAATAATGTTTTCTCCTATTTTCTTTTTGAAATACAATTTATTTTGAAAAATTTTGCCATGTTATTAATGCTTCTGCCTCATGCCCCGAATTAGAAACTCATTTGACCTCACGATGGACTTATCTTATATTTCAGCCTGTGATATGAGCAGATGAATATCTTCTAAAAAGCCACTATTGTTCTCTTAAGTAAATGCAAAACATCTGCTTTTCTTCGAAGTTTTTTGTAGTAACAGTAGCTCACTTTTCTTCAAGATAAGAATGGCTTGGATTCTTGATAAAATTTCTCCAAAACTGTCCTAGACAATGGAAGGTAGAATAGATGCAACTTAAAAAAATAACATTATATTTAAAAATGCATTTCTGGTATTTTTTGGGAAAGTTCATCTGAAGTAGATTATCTGAGAGACTTAAAAGTCTCAAACAGAACATTAAACATATTTTTGGCTGATAATCATTGATGATCTGCACATCTACCAAATATTTTTCAGTTGATGCTCTCCAACCTGAGATTGAGATACATTCTTTATTAGCTTTGATCTTACTTTTATCCTTTATCCAGGAAAGAAAATGATGTCCACTGAAGCAAGTGCTATGAGGACCTTCATTTGAATTCCTTTAAATTTCAGTTTTAAAATATGTATGTATTAAGGCAGGATTTACAGTAAAGCATATTAAGGGTTTAATTTGGGACCTGATAGGGAGTTTCTGTCAAAAATGTTCTAAAATGTTAATGGTCTCAATGATTATAGGTAAAATCTAGCACTTTCCCATGAACTGAAGTGGAGAGCATTTCAGCTTTTTGATTTTTTTTGGTTTGTATGATTTGAAAAGCCCAGTTATAAGGAGGTCTGTAAAATGTTTAAATAATTTTTATAGAAGAGAGTTGTTCAGTAGGTGCAGGATGACTTTTTGAAGTTAGTTTACCTAGTTTGACAGCAAGACTTGGAGTTTGCTAAAAACTACATTGTAAGTAAAATAAATAAAAGTGGAGATCAAATAACACTACACTACCGTAATAGGACCCCTTGATTTTGACCAGATGGACAAAGTTCAATAACTGGAAAGGGAACAGTTTATATTTTTCTGGCTATTTTGAGATGAAAAGAGGACTAAAATTCCTGACCCTGAATGGCAAAAGAGGAGGTAAAAACCACCAAAATGTTAAGTTTGCCAGACTAATATATTTTGAAAATTGAAAAGTCTTTGTTTATATATGGTTATTCATCAGTAGTTTGCTGTCTGTCTGTCTGTCTACCTAAAATTACCGACAGTTTTCCTTTTCTTTTTGGTTTATAGGTCCTGATGTCTCTGCATGAAATGTTCCCAGCAGTACATGCAGCAGAAATGGCTGTCCAGCGAAACCCACATTCGTGGGAGTCTTGGCAAACTTTGGGACGTGCTCAGCTTGGATTAGGAGAGATAGTCCTGGTAAGGAAGTTGGATTATTGTAATGCTGAAATACTAAGTTGATTCTGACATGTTGTTCATTAACTAAGCCAAGGGGTGAATAGCCACTTCATAAATCTGTACTGAAAATAAATAGGAAATTATCCTTAAAGGTAATGTATAAATACAGATGCAAGCTGTTACTGATTATCTTTTTATGATTATAAACACCAGTTATGTTGGGGCAAGTATATTTTTTATTAGACATTATGAAAACTAAAAAATAAAAATTTAATTTAAAATATTGGCATTTTGTAAGGTGTATTTAGCAATAAGCAACTTTTGGTTTTGTTCTTTGAATCATTTAATTTACCACATTGGGAAGAGTGCCTCTGTGGTATGGGAGGGCGGCCGGTGTGCATATGTCTTCCCCGCCCCCATTACAGCACTGTGTCCCTCTTATGGCCAGTCCCCCACCCATCTTTGATGTGGATGGACTGCTTGTGGACACCCGATGGCTATATTTAGTGGTGTTTTAAAAAATGCCCAGTCACTATGGAAAGAAATATAGCTGGGATGTCAAGACCCTGGTTATCGGCAAAAAGGCATTAGAAGTGCTCAGATCATAGACATCATTCATGCAACAGTGTCCCCGTGCCCAAATAGTTGCTGGTGGAAGGGAGCCAGAGGAAGTTACAGAACTGTTTTCCACTGCTACGCTTATGCCAGGTGTTAAAAAACTGATCCACTACCTGTGGAAACACAGAGTCCCCTTTAAGTGACCGCCAGCTCAGGGGACACATCCTTTGAATTGAAGACAAGCAGGCACAAGGAGTTCTTGAGTTTGTTCAGCCATACCATGTTGGGAGACGATCCCAAGGCAGAGTGGAAAATCAGCCTGGACATCTTCCTCACCTGTTGCAAGCGGTTCTCTCTCTCTCCACTCCTGGCACAGTGCCTTGTTTTTGAAGATGCTTTCAGCAGCGTGGAGGGGGCCCTAGCAGCTGGGATGCAGGTTTTCATGTGTTCTTATGAAACCTGAGGCACAAATTGATGACCAAGGGCACTGTAGTACTGAGTTCCTGCAGAATCTGCAGCTGAGCTGTTCGGTCTGCCTCCCTACAAGTAAGGGCCAGGCTCTTCCATGTTTCTCGGGGGCATATTCATGACCCATATTGCTGAGAGAGGGGAGGGGTGAAGGCCATCAGCTGTCTCCACTTGCAGCCTGCATCATCACTGAAGTTTTTCAAAGCTAGTCTTCTGTCCCTGTTCATTTTGCCTTGGCTCACTCTCACAAGATTTGGTAGCCCTTGACTTGGTGATTGAAAATAGACCAGTGGAAACAGACCAGAGCTAGAACCTAGGTTTGCCCTCTGATTCTCTGAATCAGGAAGCTGATATGGTATGTGCCACCGTGTGAATATGCACATGTGTGCCGTGTATATATATGTGAACATCTGTTTATATTGGTTAAGAATATACTTGTTTAAGACAATGTGAAATTATATTTATGATCATTTTTCGTTTTAGTTTTTCTGAATATTGATACTTGGATATGTAAACAATGTATACATATATGTATATGGTTTTATGTGGGTATGTGTATGTATGTGCATAATTTATATAATATATTGCTTTGCTATCTTCAGTGTTGATTGTAGCATAGAACTGTAGCTGGTAGAGGAGATGATAATTCTCTTGAATTTGAAACCTGAGTGGGGAAACCTTTGATACTGGTGAAACTTAAGAAATAATCCCCAGACTACTGGCTTTGAAATAATTTTTGTGTCCTCAAAATATCTCCAAGTGTAGGTTCCTGAGTGAGTCCCTGTACCAAAACAAAAAGAAAGACTCAAATACCTTTACTGTCTTTACTCAGTGACTCACCCGGAGCTGTGTGTATGATCAGGAGTTTAACTCTGAACCTTGTGTAGCATATGGCTTGCATCTACATCCTTATCCACATTGGAGAATATTTTCTGCCTTAGAAAAAATTACTTTTCTCCTTTAAGAATGTTGATTTTCTACCTTTTTTCTAATAAAAAGAAAAAATAGATTTTTTTCTTTTCAAATTACTACTTGAACAGACACAGAGCCCCATAACATTTTTGGCATAATCAGCCATCGCATTTTTGTGATCAGTTCTTTTGTAGATTTACTCTGCCGTGGGAATTTGGCTATAAGTTGTCAGAAATTATGGAAAGCTTTAAAATGGTGAAAAAGGAGCACTTCTCAGTTCTGCCTTAACACATCAATTGCCTCTGCCATTTTGTATTTTTCAGCTCTGTAAATTGCAGATAAAAGCATAGCAATGCATATGGTTGTCTGGTGGAATGACTGGATTTACCCAGTTGTCAGGTTTTGCCCCAAATTAGCAAATTCACCTCAGCATTCCTGATTACCTGTGTTGTCTGTTCTTTGATTTCCTCTTCAGACTAACTGGATCATATTACTGGTTCCTTCACAAGTTAATTTAGTTGAATAAAGTCTTTTGTATGCATTTGTGTAAAACAAAGTTTACCCTCTCATAAATTGGTAACAATACCATGATAGAGATAAGCCCACTTAAAGATATTATAAGGGAAGGAAGAAAGTAGAATACGGGGAGTAATGGTGATAGTTAGACTGAACAGTTACTAGGTTTAGTGAGGGCAGTGTGGGAAAGGGTAGAAGTTTGTGAGAATGAAGTGTTTGTTGTGTAAAGTTTACTATAAATGGTATTAAGGGGATCTCTCAACATGTCTGGACCTTTGGTAGCAAAGGCTAAATAGGTGAAAGTTGACTCTGAGAATTATCCTGTTTTTTAGGAGGACTATACAGACGCGATAGTTCACAAAACTCAAGTTCATAAAAAGCATTTGCAAATTTAATACAACAATGCCAAATTACTTCTTTGTAAATGAGTGAATTATATATGACTTACCAAATTACTTTTTTGTTGTTGAACAAGTTATTTATGACTTTATGGTTTTTTTTTGTTTTTTTTTTTTTTGTACCCAGAATTGAATTCAGGAGATTTTATTGGTCTTTTACAATTAAAAATAAAACACATTTTGAAAGTTTTTTAAGGCTAAATCAGTGATAAATCTTGAATTTAACATTACTAATAATGGTTTTGGTAAATGATAGATTTTTTTTCCATCCTTATGATTATTTTTATTTCCAAAAAAAGGTGCTTGGCAAATTTTTACAAATGATAAACAAAGAATTTTCATGGGAAAATAATTGGACTCAAGCCAAATAATATGAAATGATACTCATAGTGATAGAAATTAGTTTAACCAAAGGCCATTCTCCTTCCCAGTCACTTAGCATTGTCCTCTTTTCTCTTTTTACCTGAAGACTTAAGTCTCACCAGAGGTGGGAAAAAAAAGGAACTCAAGAATTTATTTTTTAACAGATTAGTGAGAGGCAATGGGACATACCATAAAATTCTGTTTTCTTGTGGTAATGGGAAGTCTCTAGGAGACATGTATGTTTCGCAATCATTGCCCTTTCTAGAAATACTATATTACAGGTGAGACAACAGAGGTACTTTCAACCATCTAATAAAAATAAAGTTATTTCATATTTAAAGGTTTTTCAACAAGAAAACCATTTTTTCAACTATTCTTTCTGTTTTTGTGGTTCTATTAATATTGTACAGTTTTAGAGGAATTGAAAGCTATTCTTCCCAACTTAAATCTAATTTTTAAGACTCTGCTTGTAAAAGTCTAAATTTGTGATTTTTGCATAGGTTTAGACTCTTAAAAGACTGGAATGGTTAAAAAAAGAAAAAAAGACTGTATTCAAGCCAGTGTGGTAGCGCATGCCTGTAATTGAAGCATTCTGGGAGGCTGAGGTAGAGGGATTACAAGTTCATGTCCAGCCTGGGCAATTTAGCAACTTAGCAAGACCCTGTCTCAAAATAAAAAATTCAAAAGGGCTAGAGATGTAGCTCTAATGTGAAGGACCTGGTTCAATCTTTTTTTTTCTTCCAGTACTGGGAATTGAACTCACGACCTCTCACTTGCCAGGCAGGAGCTATGCCGCTGAGCTACGTCCCCAGCCCCTGGTTTAATCTCTAATACCACAAAAAAAAAAAAGACTCAAAAGGATATAATGAAGGAACACTATGAAAAATATATTGAACTCAAGCTAAAAATTGCTAACATTAATTCTTACTATATAATACATGTATGGGCAAAGTAATAAGATACATAAATAGAAATGAAAAGTAAATTAAATCTTATGTCGAGTTGGGTATATCCCATGAATAATTACTTAGATTTTGAGAGTCAAGTGTTGTTATGGTTTGTGTCTGGGTGTCCCCTCAAAGCCTCATACGGTCATGATTTATGGTTCAATGCTGGGATTATGGGTGTGAGTGCTACACTGCCCTGGGGTGGGTAGTTTGCACACAGTGTAAGAGAGGGAAAGAGGCTTGGTCTTGCTACTCCTCCCCTTTTGCTCTTGCTGCTGTTGCTGTCTTCTGCCGCCATGAATGGTAGCCCTCTGCCATGTGCCACTCTGCCATGGGGCCAGACTAGTATGGATTGAAATCTCCACAAACTGAGTTAAATAAACCTTTGCTTCCTTAACTTTGGGTGTCAGGTATTTTGTCCCAGCAACGAGAGAAAAGTAACCAAGACAAGTGTGTATTCTGGAAAATAACTTACGGGAAATAAATTGAGTGAGTGAGAAAGCAAGAGAGAGCAAGGAGAGGTCGGTGTTGTTGGAGAAGGAAAAAGAGCTTGGACTTCATAGGAAGGCTAGGAAGAAGAAGGATGAGGAATAAGAAAGCTGTTGAGGATTGTTCTGGAAGTAAGGAAGGGAAGGGGTTGCTGAGAACAGAATATATAAGGCGACTGGTTCTAGAAAAGATGTTATAAAGGAAAGGAAATTAGGAAAAACAAGGAATAACAAGAGATAATAGTTCTAGGAAGAATGATTCAGTTAGCTTTTCACAGTCCTTAGCCTCCAGTGCTGGCACTAGCTTCTAGGCCTCCCTTTTCAGTTCCTGAATAATTCTTGTCAACTTTTGATTTTTAATGCAATATATGATATGCATTAATTTTATTTGCTAATGTTTTCTCGATCTTCCAAGTCTCATTATACAGTAGTGATATTAATATTTTGCATAAAAAATCTTTTACTAGGCTCTTGGTTTTTTCCTCATTTCTCTTTTACAGTGGTTATTATTTTTGTGGTAATGGGATTGATATGATAGTTTTTGGGCAAAAGGAAGATGTTTCACAAGTGAAAATTTTTTCCACTGTAATCATTGAGTAGTTAAGGCAAAGTTCTAATTTCAAATGTGTATGTGTGGATATACATATACACACCCATACTCACATACACACATGACTACATTAAATATACTGAGTTTTAGAAATGAAAACCTATGACCTGTTTCTTTCCAGGCAATCCGAAGTTTCCAAGTAGCACTTCACATCTATCCAATGAATCCTGAAATATGGAAAGAGGACCTTTCTTGGGCTAGAACACTACAGGAGCAGCAGAAGGTAGCACAGAAGATGAAAAAAAGTGAAACGCCATCTGGGGAAACGCATATTTCACCAAAGTCGATTCCTGACTATGACTTTGAAAGTGATGAGATTGTTGCTGTTTGTGCAGCTATTGCTGAAAAACAGAAGACAGTTTCAGCTAATAAAACAATGGTTATTGTGTCAGCCTCTGGGACTGTAGAGACTGTAACTGAGAAGGAAGAGGGTGCCACCCCTCCGGACGGCTCTGTGTTTATCAAAGCCCGATGAAGCAGTATGTGTAGTGGAGTTGAGTCTGTCGTTTTGATTGGTACTTAATGTTTAAACATAGGTACATGTACCCTGGAGAAAGAGGGCAAAACTCCTGTTTGTAAAATATGGCTTGCTGATGAGGCATAAAATTAAACAGTAGAATGATTGTGTTTGAAATATGCTTTGGGAAGTTATGACTTACACATAAGATTAGAATTCTTAGTAAAATGGTTTTGACTGATGAACATTTTAATTTGGTTATATGAATGAATACATTTTAAAGATACAACTTGAAAAATGTGTTCTTTAGTAAACAACTTGATTGCCATTAGTTTTAAAATGTTGACCCACTGATGTTTTGTTTTCTGATGAAGTATATGATGACTTTCCCTCCTTGAAATCTGCTGCTTGCTCCTGTCCACTCTTTAATTTTTCTTGCTAAACGACCATAAGTAAGCTAAGTAAGTCTTTATAATGAATTTCTGACATTCATTTTGATTCAGTTGTCATTTGCATATATGTGGAATCTTTGAAAGTCTGGTTGCAAATGTGTGCATTCTGAACATTTTTTTTAGTCTGTTTAATTCTAATTTGTGCTTCGGTTTTGACCTTGAAGTTGTAACAGTGGTAGCTGTCCCCAGTATTTGTTAGGTGTGTGACAGACCGATATCAGAATGATGGTTTTAGTTTTACTCCTTGCTGTGTGTCCTCACCCACAAGTAAGTCATTTTTAAAATACAGAGTATCTTTTACAAATATGTCATAATAAATTATAACTCTCCATTATCCCAATCAAAAGCAGTATTTCTTTTTCTTATTTTTAGGTACTTAAAAAACTCTGAAGTTATTTATTTCATGCTTGTAAGTTTCTAGATGATGATTTACAATTACTTTTTAAGATAAGTTTTTTGGAACCGTTTAGTTACAATTTTAAATAGCTAAGTTATATTCTAAAAATAAAAAGGGGTGTTATTATTAGAGTGCCACTGAGTGAATAACTTACACGAAACATACACAGAAACTGGAATGTGATTTATGGTATGCTCCCATGACTGTGTGAAAGATATATTAAATAGTTTATTGAAAGGCCACAGTCACCTTCATAAAATACTGTCATTGCTAATGTAAATTATTTTTATATTATATATTGTAGTATAATTATATAAGACTGTTGTGTGCTGTTATTTCTGGCAGCCAGGAAGATGTTACTGTGTAAAATTAATTTTATCTGTTAGAAACGAAAGCTACTTTATGTTAAGGAACCTTAACTAACGCTACTGGAGCATATAAATAATGGTCTATGTTTTTGGAGGATAATTTTTAAACATTTTGTTTTAATAGAATGCTTGCCCCCCCCCACAAGAAAATCAGCACTTGCCTTAAAAAATATTATATTTCCACCCTAAGTTATATCCTCAGAAAATTAACCCTGGATAGACAGGTAGTTTTAGAGAGACAAAAATGCTATTTTGTTTTGTTTTGTTTTGTTTATTAAGACAGGGTCTTGCTCTGTAGCCCAGGCTAGCCTCGAGCTCACTGCGATCTTCCTGCATCTGTCTCCGGGTGCTGGGCAGTATGCTATTTTGTGTAATGGATATTTGTGTATTCTGTAATATGTGAATAAATAGTTTTTTTCCTGCATTTTAGACTTTCCTATTATTTTGTGTTAGCTTTTGAAAAATTAGGTTGATTTACTTAGTTTCTTTCTTATGTGAAAGTAATATATATTAAGTACCTTGAATGATTCCTGACATATGAAATGCTTAGTAAATGTCAGCTCTATCTATGAAGAACTTGAATTTATTTGGAGATACTTAACCTTACTTTCGATTGATTTTTTAAGAAAGGCAAACTTCGTAATCTTTTCCTTATACGAAAGTGAGAAGTCATTGCTTACATTGTAGGGCAGATGTTTATCAGTTGGAGATTCTTGACATAAAGTCTGTGCTTTAACTTACAAAGAGGCAAGACCCAGTGCAGAATGCATGTAACCACTGGATTGTTACAGAACCTTTTGCTTCTACTGTATTAGCATTAGTCGGCCAAGTTGGTCTCTTTTTTACCTAGGTATAAGATATAAAATAGTTCAGACATGAGGTAAAGGAGAGGTGGAGGTACTATCGTGGCTGTCTAAGTGGGAGCAGTGAGACAGGAAAGCTCCTAGAGCTTTGGTGAACACCCAGATGCTTGGGTACTCCAAAATGGGGGTGACAGGAAAAAGCTAGATTAGGAGGGCAGGAAGAGAAACGCACTGGATTCAAGTCCAGTGTCAGGGGACTTAGAAAGGGAAGCTAGACTGTACAGGACATCACCCCTTCCATCCCAAGGCCAGTGTGCACGCCATCTTGGGAGGAGATCTAATGCCCTGTGGGAGGGAGCCAGTATGGCAGTGGAGGCCAGATCCCTGGAAAAAGCTCCCGCTCCCCCAGGAGAGCTCTGCAAATGAGATATTTGCCGGCCAGGGCATCAGAGAAACTGAAAGCTTGCATAAAGGTGTTTGAGAGGGCAGTGGCAGGGCTTGGGGGAAGCTGAAGGCAGGTGCATGACCCTACTTAGGAAGGGACTTCGTTCTGAGTGCTGAGAAGACTGTAGTTCAGGGGCTAGGCAAAGGGCAAGTTTCTGTGGGAAAGAGGGAATCAGATAGGCCCCGGAACAGACACTCTCCCATTCTTTCTGCCAACACTGGGAGTGTTTGCAACCAAGGGACATCCTGCTCACTGTTCCCAGCTCTTCTTCAGACACCCATGTAAAAGCCCTGCTGCCCACGCCGTGGGCTGCGGATGGCAGTGGGGCCTGAGGAGGTGGAGAGCTGAGAGCGGTGCCCTAGCAGCTTTTAGCAGCATGCTTGGGAGAAGGCTTGTGAGAGACAATACAGACAGCAGCAGGATTTGCCTAGCAGGAAACCAGCAGGGGTCAGAGAGACCTAGTGGAAACCAGTGAAAACTGGATCATAAGTCAGTAACACTCCACTGTCTGTCAGTCCTCTAATTATCTAAGGGAGTTAGATACTAAGACAAAGGCAGAGGTTTTGAAAGTATAGCCATTGGGGCTGGGGATTTAGCTCAGCGGCAAAAGCGCCTGCCTAGCAAGCACAAGGTCATGAGTTCGGTTCCCGGTACCGGAGAAAAACCAAAAAAAAAAAAAAAAAGAAAGTATAGCCATTTCACTATATTGGCTCTGCCTGCTTAGGAACGGGGATATCTTTCCATTTTCGTATGGAAAGATGTCTTTCCTGCCTATTCAGGAATGATAATATCTTTCCATTTTCTTCTTTTTCAGAGGACCATCTTTTTCATTGTAGAGGTCTTTCACTTGGTTAGGTTAATTCTTAGGTGTTTTTTTCTTGATGCTGTGGTGAAAGGTATTATTTCCCTCATTTCTTGTTTGGTGAGTTTGTTACTGGTATATAGAAACGCTACTGAGTTTTGTGTGTTGACTTTGCATCCTGCAACATTACCACATTTAGTTATTAACTCTAAGAGTTTGCTAGTGGATTTTTTGGGGGGTCTTCTGTGTAGAGGATCACGTTGTTTGCAAATAAAGATAACTTCTTATATATATCTGCCCCCCCCCCTTATTGTCTTTTTGAGACAGTGTCTTGCTATGAAGTTCAGGCTGGCTTTAAACTCACTTTGTAGCCCAGGCTGGCCTTAAACTCACAACAATCCTCCTGCCTCAGCATCCTGAGTGTTGAGATTACGGGTGTGCATCACCATGACCAGCTTATATATCCCTTTTATATTTTCCTCTTGCCTAATTGCTCTGCCTAGTGTTTGGAAAACTATATTGAACAGTAGTGGTGATAGTGGACATCCTTTTCTTCTTCCTGATTTTAGAGGGCAAACTTTCCATTTTCCGCCATTTCATATGATTTTGGCCCTTGGTTTCTCATAAATGACTTTTATGAGATTGAGATAAGAGCCTTCTATACCTATTTTCTTAATGTTTTGCTTTTTAATCATGAATGGATGTTGGATTTTGTCCAAGGTTTTTACTGCATCATTGAAATAATTACGTGTTTTTGTCCTTCTGTTTACATGATGTGTTACATTTATTTTGTACTAAAGTATTCGAGGAACATTGGCGCTAGATCTTGACTTAAGTTCATGTAGAATTCAGGAGTGGATCTATTGGGACCGAAGAAAACTTTGTTGGTAGTTTTTCTTTTTTTAATTACTTCTTGACTCTCATTGCCTGATTGTGGATTATTCAGAGGTTTTTATGTCTTGTTGGTTCAACTTCAGTAGTTCATGTGTGTCTAGGAGCCTTCCCATTTCATCTGAATTCTTCGCTTTATTAGTGCACAGGTTCTCTAGTGTCCCATGTGCCGATGAGAAGAATGTATTCTGCTTTTGTTGAGAGGAGTACTAGAGATATCTATTAAGTCTGTCTGTTTGAAGGGTTGGTTCAGTCAATATGGTTAAATACTTTCTTGCTATGTCTTCTTTTTGTGGTCCTGTTTCTCAAAATATTACTAATAATTTTCTGTATTTTGGCAGAATCCCTTGTGACTGCACTTTTTTCATTTCTAATTGCATTAATTTGGGTGTTTTGGTTTTTTCATAAGATTGGCTAAGAGTTTCTCAATTATGTTCATTCTTTGAAAAAATAGCTTTTTGAATCATTGCTTCTATTGATTTTAATCTCAATTTCATTAATTTTGACTATAATTACCTGCCTTGTACTAGCTTTGGATTTGGGTTGCTGTGTTTCTAGGACCCTGTGATGCATCATTAGGTTGTTTATTTGAATTCACTCCTTTTCTGATGTGGGCAGTCACGGCTATAAACTTCTCTCCTAGGACTGCTTTCATTTTGTCCCACAGGTTCCAAAATGTTGTACTGGCATTATCATTTGATTCTAGGGACTGTCTAGTTTCTTCCGTGACCCACTGATTATTCAAGAGGGCATTGTTTAATTTCCATGTATTTGCATAATATCTGTAGTATTTTTGCCATGACTTCTAATTTCATTGCACAACGAACTATTAATATGCACAGATAATTGTGATTCATTCGTATTTACTTAAGCATGCTTTATGAGCTGGCATGTGGTCAATTTTGGAGAAAATAGCATGTGCTATTAAGAACAACATGTATTCTATTGTTGTTGGGTGGAATACTTATAGATACCCATTTAGTCCATTTGTTTGAAGGTTTGGTTCCCTCAGTACAGTTAAGTATCCTTTTTCTGGTCCCATTTCTCTATATAGTACTTGAAACATAATCATAGGATCATAATTTTAGCATCTTAAAGTCAGATTTTGTTGTGGTGGGAGACGGGATATGAGATGGAGGGAGTAAACATCATGGCTTATTTTGTTCTAAAACTTGTACAAATAGTCCTATACTTAAAGGCATAACCAAGGAAAAGGATTTCAGCCTTGTTTAGTCATCTATTCCATAATCACTTGTACAACTTTACAACCACGGGATACATAGATGGTTTTTTGGAGTGTTGTTATTTCTTGCCATGGCACACTGTCTAGACCACTTAGAGAACCTCATATTTTGTATGCAGAAAAGCTCTTATTCTTACAAGAAATGAATGCATTGTGTAACAGATTTTTCTGCATTAATATTTGAAGCCAAAAAGCATCACTGACAGTAAATAATGTGTCTGTATTTTATGTAGCCCTTTGTGTTTGTAGAATATCTATGGAAATGGTGATTTTAATTTGGGAAAGGCTCTTGACCCTGTGGTCTCCTGGATAAAGCACCACTTGAATAAAACTGGCAATTCCACTTCCTTCTCTTACACAACTGACCCATTTGGTTAGATTGGTTCAAAGACTGTGAGATGGTGTAAAAATTGCCTTGTTGTCTACTATATCCTATATGGGCCAGGTATGACTGCGAGCCAGACAATAAGAAGCTCCTTGCATAGAAAATCTGAGGCTCTCTAAATGGTCTGAACTATGTCTCATGCAAGAAATAACACTCCAAAAGACCATCTTTTCATTACATAGTTAAGGTATACAAATAATTATGGGCTAGATGACTAAACGAAGTTGAAGCCTTTTTCCTTAGTTACTATAAGCCAGAGTCAACAGTAAAATGGACTGAATTGTATATTCCTTCAGTTTGTTTGTGGAGCTGTAATGGGGCTGAGAGGGACTGGGACCAAGACCAAGACAGGTGGAGGGAGATGGCTGGGGGAGGTGCATACACAGAAAAGGCCGTATGAGGACACATTGAGAAGGTAGCCACTTGCAAACCAAGGAAGAAGCTTCACAAGAAATCAGCCCTGCATCATCACCCTGATCTGGGACGTCTAGCCTCTGGGACTCTGAGAAAATAAATTTCTGTTGTTGAAGCCACCTAGTCAGTAGTACTTTACTATAGCAGCCTCAACTGATTAATGCACACATAATTCAATTTGAAACTGGACACAAGGCTTTAATAGATATTTCTTCAAAGAAGATACACAATTAGCCAATAAGCATATGAATAAATTCCCAAAAGCATTAGTCACTGGGGAAATGCAAATGAAAACTACCATGAGATACCACTTCATACCCATAGGATGAGTATAATAAAAAATACAGACAGTAACAAGCCTTGATAAGGATGTGGAAAAGTTGAAACCCTGGTACAGTGCCTGTGGGAATGTAAAATGGTACAGAGAAAAACTGAGATGGCTTCAGAACATTGAACTTACAGTTACTGTACATCCTGGCAATTTCACTTGGGTGTATGCCCAGGAGAATTGGAAATATATCTACACAAAAACTTACTAGCAAAAAAGTCCATAGCAGAATTATTCACAGTAGCCAAAAAGTGGAAACAACTCACCGCTCATAAACTGTCAAATGGATAAAGAAGATGTGCTATATCCATACTATGGGGAATTATTCAGTCATAAAAAGAAGGAAGTACTGATTCATGCTGCAATGTTAGTGCCCTTGAAAACATTCTAAGTGAAAGAAGCTGGACACAAAAACCCACACAGTGCATGATTCATCATGTAAAATGTCCGGACAAATCCACAGAGATGCGGTGCTTGCCAGGTCCTGGGGGAGAGAATGGGAAGTGAGTGCAGATGGGAATGGCTTTATTTCAGGGATGATGAAAATGTTCTGCAATTAGATAGCAGTTGTGGTTGCACAACTTTGTGAATACACTGAAATATTTTATTTTTTTTTGTTTTGTTTTGTTTTTTTGGGTTTTTCTCCGGTACCGGGAACCGAACTCACGACCTTGCGCTTGCCAGGCAGGCGCTTTTGCCGCTGAGCTAAATCCCCAGCCCCCTACACTGAAATATTTTAGAGTACACTTTAAAGGATAAATTTTAGAGCACATGGTATGTCAGCTGGGAAAAGACAGCCAGATTAGTGTTCTGGACAATGAATTTAAGATGAATGAGATTATGTTATGAATCTTAATAGCAGTAGCTTGTGAATGAAGCACTTGTTTTTCGCCTATGAAACACGGGTGATCTAGCTATTGTCTGTTGCTCATGTTCGTGAAGGTAAAACAAAGTCCTTTGATAAATAAAATATCCTCTGAAAACATTGTGTTGTAGGCATTAGCTACATTGGGCAAAGAGAACGTTTTAGAAGCTTTAGCTGCATGCTCCTTTTCTGAGCGTGCCTTACCTCCAGTGAGAATCACTGTGCCAGGAGGCCTGTGAAGATGACTGTCCTATTTTTTTTTTTTTTTTTACATTACCCACAGATATCTCTAAAAACTTACAAATAGCAAATCATGACTTGACTTCTGCTTGAAGTGTGTCTAATACTGGCAGTATCAGCATCACCCAGGATCTTTTTAGAAATGTGGACACTTGAGACCTAAAGAATCAGAAACTGTGTTTTTATAAGCTCTCCAGAGGACTCATGTAGGCTAAAGTTTGAGATACACTGGTCTACAGACATTAAAACTAGGAAGGACCAGAAGTTTATCTTCATTTTTGTAATAATTATTTGGGTACTTTATGTGTGCTGATTAAGCATGCTATTGTCACTCCCAACACCCGTACAAACTGGTGACCTTGAGTACACCTGTCACTCAGATGGATTCATTATGAAGTGGATCCAAGGCTTTGTACTATTCTTCCCACTTCAATGATAATTAGTAATTATCTCTCTCAAAATAATCTTTAAGAAATATTTTGATTTAAAAGGCTATAGAAGATCCCTGAAACAAAGACCACACAAGTTTTCCAAAATTGAGGATATGGATCTCAGCTTGAATGCATTTATTTATTATAATCTCCAAAATAATTTCAGTTGGCATAACTTCTTAAAACCATATCAATATTAGGCTCAGAATTTAATCACAACCAAGCAGTTCACAAAACACTTTAAGCAACAAAACATGCTTGATATTTCTTTGAGAAAGGACCTTCAAATATGTGAACAGGGTCACTGGGGATCACAAAGCTGTTAGAAGGTGACTCTTACATGCCGAAGTTCTGCACATTTACAGTGTTAAACCTGACACACATTAAAGGCAAATTTAACCATATCTGAGATCCTTCTGTATCTCAAAATAAATGTCTTTATGGTACAATTTTTCTTTCTATTAAATTTAAAAGATATTCTAGGTTACTCCTTAGGCAAACAGAAGTATGCACACTTTCATGGGGAAAAACAAGCTGCTTTGATTTATTTTTATATTATGCACTTCAATTATGAGTGAAGACTTTAAAAATTATATTTTGAAAAGTAGCAATTAGTGGGGGCAGTATTTGAAAATATTTACCAACATGTTATGTTCTTTTGAAATCACACTTTTCTGGATAAAAATGATGTCACTAGATTATTTTTATGATTATACATAGCTTGGAAAGAACTGTAGAATTTTGGAAGATAAATTTCACATCTTAAATGGCATTTTTCCTTATTTTGATGATATTAAACTTTTAAAAATTATTTGTTTTATAGATATTAGTTTCACTAATTAGTTTTTGTAGATATTAGCTTCACCACCTCTGCCTGAACTTGTATATGAAAAATAAATCTAACATCTGAACTTCAGCTGGTTACCCTGGGAGGAAGGAATCACCATTACTGTATTACACCTTGTATTAACAATAAACCTTCTCATAGAGAAGAAAATACTTTAAATACCTTAAATATTTACAACAATAAAAATTCACATTTCATGCTTTAGTGAGACACTTAGATCAGCCATAACGAAGTCCTCAGAGTATATTGGATAGAGCCCTTCCAGTATCCGAGCCTCTTCGGTGTGCCAGATATACAGCTTTTGATGTCATGAAAATAGCATGCTCCTGTCATTTTCCTATCCAGGAGAGAAACCAAAGGTAGCTCTCCCCACCCGTCAACTTGTGACTGCAATCCTGTGTTATAGCGGGGTGTTAACGGATGTGCTTCAGGCCTCGAGACGCACGTGAAATGACTTGAGTGTTTGAAAAATGCTCAGGAACGCCTGTGTTGCCTAACGTGAGCCACAAGATGAAGGTACACTTCGGAGCACAGCTAAATGCTTCACTTATGTGTCTACTGCACAGGATTTTTTAAGGTTCCAGAAACAGTGCAGTATTTCCTTCCTTGACTACTATATACACTTTTCAGATAAGTTCCGTGTTTCACTGGGGAATGTGACTTGCAGGGAGCTCCCCTTAGGGGCAGGGCCATCCCTGTTCCTCCCACTGACCTCATCTACCAATAAGACAGTCTCGGAGTCGTGGCCCTGTGAGGAGTCTGAAGTCTCTGATATTCGCAAAGTTCTCAGTGAAGTGGTTTCTTCCTGGGTCTGGCCCATGCTAGGCACACCTGGAAGCAAATTCCTGCCTCCAAGACTGTTCTCACTTAGTTCTGGCAGGTAAAGGAGGGTCTGAGATGTGCTGCTGATTTCCTTTAGCTCTGGCGAGAAGAAAGATCGAGAGTGGTTGGACATGGCTGAAGAGGTCCTCCGACTCTCAGAGCAGTGTTGTCCTGCGCGGTCTCTGCGGGACCCACCAATGCGGCAGAAGAGGCATTTGATCTTCTCCATGGCTTTACTGAGCACTGTTTTTCTCAGAAGTATATATATCCAGGGGTCCAGGATGGGGTTCACAGAAGCAATTCGGATGGCCTGCAAGTCTGGGTTTCTGCTGATTTCTCGCACCACACTTGGCTGATATAACTGGTTGATGAACACTCGCACCTGCACAAAGGAGACGCCCACAGTTAGACCTCGTAATTAAGCAACTGGGAGAACACTTAAATGCTACATCTGCCTTAGCAACATTAAGGAGCTGCTCTTTTTTCCAATAAATAAATGCCAAAGAAAGAGCAGCTTCCACAATAAACCACAGAAATACCAGTGATTGCAAAAATTAATTGCATGTGTACTTTGAGTTAGTATAATACTAAATATTTTATATCTTTCTTAGACCAAAGATAATATGTAAAACTGCAATGTATTTATAGGTAACCTATGAATAAAGTCTCCTGAGAAGTATTTTATTAATCCCTCTGAGCGCTTTTAAATTTTTGTAGTTCTAATAAAATACCTTTTCCCCCAAAGTCACTAGATTTCCTTTTCAATAGCCATTTTATATATTATAAATGATACTCATTTTGTATGTCAAGCAACCATCTAATTATTACAAAAGGCTGAGGTTCTTTTTAGAGTCTCAAGAAAATTTATTGTAAACTTTTGAACGAACATCAGGATCTCCTGTTATCCAGAATGACTACAGAGTATTTTCATGTTCTGTATGACTTGCCTTCGTAGGTTTAATAATCATCTAATGTTATTAACTGTCTTTACCCAAAACCTCCAATCCTTTCCCTCTAACTGCTTTTCACCCTTGAAGATTATATTGCAGCAGCCACCAAACTAGCCTTTCTGCCTGCTTTACCTCTCCAGTCTATTCCTGTACCATATAAATAAGATTATTTCTAAAACATACATCTGACTGAGCTGCTCAGATGCTGAAACCTTCACAATCCTGCTGCTTGCAGACCATAGTTTTGTTCATCTTTCAAGGCAGCATTCAACTGCCATTTGGTGAATCCACCGTGAAACTCCAATCACAATCAACTCCTCCTTTGTGCTTGGATCGCCCCTCAGCCAAATAGCAATCAAGTGCTCACAGAGCCCTAAAAACAGACCAGTTGGGGTGGTCCTTCTAGTGCAGTTTGAGCTATTAAGGCAAAAGCTATGTCTGCCATGCTGTGGTGGGCCATACAGGGTATAAGTGAAAAATGCAAGGCACCGTGGGAACCTTTTTGCTATTTTGGATTATTAGTTTTGACAGTTTAAAAAGTTGCTCTTATTATAATCATTTATTTGCTCACATCCTTTCATGTATTTCATCATTTGGCAATAAGCACTTACTGTGTTTTAGGCATTATGATAGGTTCCGGGACAAAAAAAATTGTATTAAATGTCATAAATATCTTGTAGGCAGAGAGTAGTACATAGTCAGGACAGGAACACAGACCAACTATTACTGCAACTATTACTGACCAACTATCACTGACAAAATGAAGCGGGAGAGGTGTGCACAAGGCGGCCTGCCAAGACCTGGAGGCCAAGCATCAGGAGCGGAAGCTTGCGCTGTGTTTGGTGGATACGTGTGAGTTTGCCAAATTTAGAAGGAAGGACGTAACATTTTTAAGAGGGATAGTTCCCTGCACAAAGTCACGGAAGAGTGAGCTATGCCAACTTCCAAAAAGGTTAAATGATTTATTTAAAAGGCATGAATTGGTGTAAACTTAAGGAAGACAATTATTTTATTCTTTAAAGACAAAGATACTTGTTAAATATATACTCAAGTATTCTTGCCTAGATTTTCTAATTACACTAGAATTATTTGTATTAAAATCTTACCTGTCACTCAGGTAAAAGAGCAGTTTTAAGATGACTGCCATCTGTCTTTAGTAATTATTTAGTAGGTATCACTTGTCTTTGCTAATTATTTTAGATTAGGGAGAAGTAAGAAGTGAGTCTCACAGCCAAGGAGACAAATAAAAACCATAAAAAGGAAAAAGAAGTCACAAAAGCATAGCCGGAGCCTGTATCTATTAAGAAGCAAGCACTTGTCACGAGACTCAGGGACATTGCTGCCTTGCCACACAGCATATAATTAATGATTTATGATATATAAATGTTATGCTTTGTGTCTAGATGTTCCCTCAAAGCCGCGTGTGGTCATAAGGAGTCTTTTTCAGAGGTGGCTGGATCTAGTGTGACACTGGGACTGAGTAATGCTACAGTGCTAGGATCAAGGGCACTAGGACTAAGGGTGTGAGTCCTGTCTGACCAGGTAACCTGGATAAGATATAAGGAATAGAAAGAGCTGTGGTCATCTCATGTTGCTTTTCTACCTTCTGCCTGCTTGAATTGTTCCTCCCCTTTGACGCCTGTCTGCCACACCACCCTGCCTTGGAGATGCTGATTATGGACTGAAACCTCTACAAACTGTGAGCTAAATAAACCTTTCTCCCTTTAACTTTGCTTGTCAGGTATTTTGTCTCAGCAATGAGAAAAGTAACTAAGACCATAAGTTACCAGGAAAGGGTTGGGATACTTTAGAGAAATTTACAACAATTTGGATAAAAGAAGAAAGTTTGAAATGTTTAAATGAAGTATAAATTAATCTGCAAAATATAATTTAAATGAAATTTATTCCTGGATGATGTTGGATAAATGAACATATAACTGTATTCCTATCTTTTCCTTAGGGAAAATTTAGATCTGATTGGCCACAAGTCCACTGATTCTTCATCAAGAAAATTCTGTTTTTCAGTTATTATTTTGTTGTTCTTCATTTGTTTTGTTTTGGACACTTAACTGGGTTTTAAAACCTAACCTACACTTGGCATCAAAACCTCAACTGAAGCTAGGCACGGTCACAAACCTGTAATCCCAGCACTTGGAGAGGCGGAGGTAGGTGGGCTGCAAAGTCTACGCAGCTTATTGACTCACTGAAACCCTGTCTCAAAAGGGGGAATGTAGTTCAGCGTGAGGCCCGGGGTTCAATCCCCAGCACTGAAGCAGAACAGAACACCAAACCAAAAAAAAAAAAAAAATCCCTGGTGCTACTTTTTTCTTTTTCCTGATGCTACTTAAAATTTATTCATTCCACTTACAGTGAATATATTCCCATTTTTCTCCAGGGCATTGTTCCAACAGGAATATTACATACTCTATGATGTATTAATAATTACTTTTCTAAAATCCAAGAAATTCTGAATTTTGTGTCTGGCCCTATAAATCTCTAAAAAATTTAGGTAAGGATTCTGGCCCTGTAAGTCTCATAGAATCAAATGGTCAAAGGGCTCTGAGGGAGATAAATTATATTTGTGTGTGTGTATGTGTGTGAGTGTGTGTGTGTGATACCGATAATTGAACTCTAGACTTTGCACATGCTAGGCAAGCATCCTATTGCCGAGTTTTGTCTCAGTCCTTTTCTTTTTTCTTTTTGAAACAGGGTCTTGCCAACTTGCCCCTACTGGCCTCAAACTTCCATCCTCCTGCCTCAGCCTCTTGGAAATTGAGATATCTTGAGAGATAAAGAGAGCTAAAGAATCTACTACAATTACCAGCAGTCTATGAAGTTTTGCCTTAAAATAATATATTTAGAAACAAACATGGAATAAATAATAATGTCAAGACAAAAGATGCTTGACTTTTAAAAAATCTACCCAAGAAACTAGAAAAACAAGGTATCTTGGCTTCATTTTTTTTTTTTTTTCCGGAAATTGTTCTGAGGTTCTCAGTGCTGTCTAGGAACTAAGTGCCATCAAGGATTTTCTCAGATGTGTTTTTTACGGAGACCTGGAAGTTTTCAAGCACTTTCTAGGTCTCCTTGGTATTGATGGTTGACTCTGGTCTACCCAGGTTCCAGCGGAACTCCATGGATTTTTTTTTCTTTTTTTGTTATACAAGGCTGGATTTATTTTTAAGAATTATTTACCAGCAATGGAAGTATTGGTAAAAACATAAGATTTTTTTTTTTTTTAAACTCATATCGCATGTTATGTTCCTAAGAGTAAAAGAAATCATGGGTTTAAGTCTATTAGTAGAATATATTCGGGTTGTGTGAACTTGACACCCCAAGCCTCTAGGTGGCAGTGTTGCTCCACTGGAGAGTCTGGTACCACAGTCCTTCCCTATGCAATGCTCCGGTCAACCATTTCTAAGACTTTCAGACCAGAACCTCTGAACTTTGCATTTCTGAGATATTTAACACTGACGTTTTGTTGCTGGTTGATATTCCACCACAACCCCAAAGGAAACATGGTTACTACTGAAAGGAAGAGAATTTTTGAACAGTTAAAATGGTATTTTTGTAGCCATTTAAAGGAATGTGTTACATTCACCTGTGGGTTTTACTTCACCCGCAGCTGTAATTACTTTTGACTACCAGCAAAGGGAATGAAAAGACGCTGCAATGAACAATGCTCCACTTAAGTTCCCTGGGGTGAAGTCTATTTTTAGCTAATCCTTAGTACTGTACAGCTGTAGAACTCAGTCATTTAATGGTCTTGAAGACCATTAAATGGTCTTGAAGTCATTTAATGGTCTTGATAGCAGAAAGATGAGTAAAAACACAAAATTCTAATTCAGGTAAAAACATTATCAAAACTTGGTCAAGTTATTTGAAAAGAATCAACACAATTAGTTTTAGTATTCTTAATAGTGGTTTACTTCAAATAGAGAAACAAAAAAAGTGACAAAAATGAATGAGAACTTCATGCATTTTGTAATGTTTGGATAAGTTTAGCACTCTATGCTTTAAGGTCTACTTAATTTCCTCTCCCTGAAGAGAGGGAACCCCAGAGAAGGGGAATATCCATGGCACTATTTCAGTGCATGTGGGGCTGTGAAAACTCTGTGCTGGGACTTCGGTCCTTCAAGCCCTATATGTTATACAAATAAACAAGTTGGAGCCAGTTTTAGTCTTGGAAGAGTGTGGTCCTCAGAACCTCTGAGTCAGAGGGGAAAATCTGTAAAAAATTCACCAAACACAAATAACAGTCTACTTTCTTCCCACTTTTAAGCCTTTTGGGGTAGTTGCAGATTTCTGCAGGTGATTTGTCTTTAAGATCAGCACACATCACAATATTCTAAACTTCTTGAGACTATTTTGAAGTTCAGGTTCTGCAGCACTGGAAAATAATGTGCAGAAGAGTCAATAAATTCACAAGAGAGCATAAGAGGAAAGTTACAAGGAGGTTGTGTGCTGTAGAAGTAAACACCCAAGCTTTGTAATCAACCTCTGTTCAAATCCTGATGGTGCTTCTTATAATTTATGCATGAATTATTAAAATGCTTAGCGCAGTGCCTGGGATGTAACATACAGGTTGGCTCTAATTACTTTTCTTCTGATCCATATATGAAACTTGGCCACTGTTGGGATATACCAATAATTTCAAAACTGCAAGGAAAAAGTAGTTTTGGGGTATGATTGATGATATGGTATTAAAAACAAGTCTTTTCTATTTAAGAATAACCTGTTTGCAAGGAATGTTGAGTTGAAAGAGGAAAGTTGAGATCTTGACTAGATCTATTAAATAACTGTTAAAATAGGAATGCTTTCCAATAAATGACAAGATCTATACCTAGACCTGAGCATAGGTGCTATTTGTTCTGTTTCAGGCACATGTAAGGGATCATCTGCATGTGCTTAATTATCTCACTGCTCTGTGAAGAGTCCAAAATTGACCAGCTGTTACTAGAATTTCTAACCACTTTTTTTTAAAAGTGGAGGATGACAGAAAGAGTTCGTTACTAATATCTCTAAAGGGGACCTGATTTCTTATCCCTTCTGGGTCACTAACTGGCCATTACTGCAGGCAAGTTACTTAGTCTTTATTGGTCAATCTCTACAATGCAAATTGATTTCTAAAGGTTTTTCTAAATACCCTCCTTCAACATTCTAAAAGGAGACTCCAAGAATAATTGCAGCTTTCAAAAAATTGCTAGTAGGTGTTTAATAAAACCGCGTCCTGACCTGTCGGCAAAGTATGGTGGAAAGGGCACTGGGCTAGGACTCACCACAGGCGTCCAGCAAGGAGCATGGAATAGATTCTTCACCTGTGGATGAAGGGGCTGAGACACCGACTGTGCAAGTGCTGATCTGCTCTACCTCTTCACTAGAGCTTTTTCAAGACACAAAGGAAATGTTATTCTTCACTCTTGAATTACTACTATTGGGTCTCAAATGCTGGTGATGCCTTCAAAGAGATGATGAATTTATAGTGAACAACCAAAGAAACACAGGAAGGTATTTTCCTATGAACTTTACCTGACCAAGGCAGAAGACTAACCCAATTGCCATTCTCCTCCTAATTAAAAGTGAACACTTGTTAGTTCAGAGAAGAAGAAAGGAAATATATGAGCAAGAAATGTGATCTTGTCTTGCCTATGCATGGGTAAATACCTTTCCAAATCTCACAGTATAAATGTATAGCCCTGAGGCAATATATTGGATTGTAATTATTATCTTAACATTAATACTATTAACTACAAAATTAGGGAAAAAAAATTGGTCTACTACAGCTTTTAAAACTGGGACCAAGCCAGGCATAGTGGCCCGTGCCTGTAATTTTAGTACTGAGTAGGCTGAGGCAGGCGGATCACCATGAGTTTGAGGCCAGCCTGAGCTACATAAGAGAGTTCAAGGGCAGCCTGTACTGTATAGTGAGACTCTGTATCAAAGAAAGAAAAAACAACAAAAAAAAATCAAAGCAAAGAAAATAAAATCAACCAGGGACCTTAGGAAGATGTCTTGCTTGCATATTTCTAAAGAATGTAATCTCCTTTTTCTTTAAGCATACTCTTTCATTTCTTTAGCTTTTCCTCTATTTAAAAATAAAACAACCTGAAACTGGTTATAAGTAGAGGAATGGACAAAATCTCAAGCAATACCTTCCTACCAAGTCTTGCCATGTGACACAGATTGCACTCCCTTTTTTCTTCATTAATTCTGATCCACTTCAGAGAATTTTGTAGGTTCAGCACGGCTCCTTCTATCCACAAGGAGTTTCCCAACTTTTCTTAAACCTCCAAGCACAATTGCATTTTGATAACAAATTGAAATTTACTTTTTATACTAAGCTCAATATCAGCCACCTTCTCAGAGGCACTGCAGCTTTTTCTTCTCCGATGTCCGAAAGACAAAATTGGCTGCCGTTTAGTGGCTGCTTAATTTCCTTCTATATTATGTCAAGGTTTCTAAAATTCCAAGCAAATTGTATTTGCTCTGGTAGGCTGCCTTTCCAGATCATTTTTAATGATTCATAGGGATTGATTTTTCTCAAATGGGATTAGCAACCAGCTTTATTTGATAAAGTTAAAATAGATGTTTCATTAGTTTCCTTGGAACTGAAAATAGGCCTAACTACTTTAAATGTCAGAGAGTTCAGAAGTTTTAATCTTAAATTAAATTACATTACCAATCTGAGAAACATGAAAAAGAAAGTTGTATAAGTAAGCCAGTGATGACTGTATCTGTGGATAAATTTCCCCTTTGATTCTTTCAGTAACTGCTGGGTTGTGAGTGAGTGGGTTATAGAATGGCCCCATTAATTACCACCAATTTATGATTAGATAGATTCTAAACTTAGATTTTAATAGTCAAATAGCAAAACTGTAAGCTGAAGCTACTACTACATATATGATTCTTTAGTTCTCACAAGTATGTAAGTTCTTAACTGGCATGATTACTTCTTCGATGATCCAGTTTCAATCTTCAGGTTGTGATCCCCCAATATCTACTACACTGTATTAACTTTCTACAGCATGGACAGTATTTTCGGTTAATTGTAAACCATAAATAAAGCTCCTACAACTTATTGCATCTAGGTACTCAAACAGTTTCCAAGGGTTTGTCACAAATGGTCTGGCTCTGGGCCTTAGAGCCAGGTCTACCATGTCAGTGCATAGGATGAATTAAACTTTGTATCCTCTCCAGATACCCGAGGGCAACACTTTATCTGTGGCTGTGCAGGAATTAATATCTTCACACGCTCATCTCCAACCAAAACCATTTGGGAGGTATGTGCACTTTGCTCACCGCCTACCTCTAATTCCTCAGTTCCTTAAAGTGAACGTTCTGTAAATAACAACCACTCACTTTGGCATTTACTGTTCTGTAAAACGTAAGGCAGAGGCCAAGGAACCCAGGCTGCATCGGAAGCAGAGTTCTTCCTTCCAAAACCTCACTTTATTCTAAGCTGCTATTACAGACAGTGATATATACTTATGTGGCTCAAGTGTGACTTAATTCTGTAAAATACGCTGGGCCCTAGATGGTTTAAAGGCTGTCCTTGCCAATCATATTTACTTCTGTTCATACCGACTGGCCAGAAGCTACTGCATGCTGGTGTCAGCCACCTCTAAGTTCCTTCCATCTACAGTCACTTTTAAAAGAGATATTATATTTGTATATCAGAGATCCCTGGAGGTATTAATAAAGCAAATAACAGAGTAATAACCATTAATCCTTTTTCTTCTTGCTCCCAACAAGCATAAGAAAGAGCAGGTTGGTTTTTTGTTTTGGGGGGTTTTTTTGAGTTTATAGTTGAGAATTTCCAGGAATGAAATGCCTTGAGAGCTAGAACAGCTCAGAACTAGTTGCTTTCAACCTAAGCTCTAGGCGGGGAAGTCTGTTCACCTGCCCACCTGTTTCTGGTGCATTCCATCTTAATGACAGGTGAAGCAGAGAACTAGTGGGGTTTGAGCCTTTCTATTAATAATATCCTAAAAGTTAGTCTCCAGGCAGTTTAAAAGAGGATGTTGTCCTAACAATGAAGTGCACCCGAACTCCCACATCCACGGTTGCAAAGACCAAACCAGAACTGTTTTGGGAAGGAAACTAATCACAGGAGCACTTTTGGAGCTGCATATAAACCACAGGACTCTGGCTTGACAATCAATAAGAACCATCTCTAAACTTCAGTTTCTCTGGAAGGTACTGTTCCTCTCACCGTTTTTGAGAATTTACGTTCAACACCTATGTACATCAGGCTGTCCATAACTGGCCCCCTAAGAAATCTTGCTTTCCTGGCCTGCAGACAAAAAGAACAAACCCGAGTCTATACCATCCCCTGTACCTGAAGATGTTTTCCTGGGTACAGAATGACAGATCAGGGAACCTAGCTTAACAGTGCAGGTTCTGCTAGACTATGCTCAGCAAATGAAGTGAAGGAGTTATGCTACAAAAAGAGAAAGGAAAGAAAAGAGAAGAAAAGAAAAACCTGACATCTCTTCTAGCACTAAAATTCTACAAATCTAAGGTTACAAAAATCCCCAAAGCCCTGCACAAAATACCCAAATCTTCACTCTCCTAAGGAATGGTTTACAACAGAGATCACCAGCCCCCGACGTGGTGGACAGGGCTAAGTCACCCTATAGCCTGTTTCCCTCCACTCGTGACAGAGAGACAGGTGGGTGTTCCCAGAAGACTCAGGGTAGATGCCAGGCAGTGAGGGGGAGGCAGGGACCTTCCCCAGAGAGAGTGGAAGGCAGGTTTTTAGGGGAAGAACCTCGGTGCCTGTAGGGGGACAGCACCTAAGACTCTCAGGAGGGTCCGGATTTAAAAGGTGGTTGAGGGCCCTGAGAAGCCCTGTGGGGATCCCAGCCCCGACCTGGAGGAGATTCACTCACTGCTAAGTAACCAGAGGGAAAAGAGGGAGCAGGAGGAGAGAGAGAGTCGCGGGGAGCCGTGGGGGTGAGGAGGGGAGGCGGCGGGGCGAGGGAAACCCCTGCCCAGGCCACTCACCACGAGCGGGATGGAGCAGATGAGCACCACCAGGGAGGTGGCGATGAGCAAGATGACCATCTGGATCTCTGCGCCTGCGATGCGGCGGAAGCTCCGGCGGCGGCGAAAGTCGCTGAACCGCTGCAGGGCCGGGGAGGCACTGGCGTGGCCTCGACAGGCAGAGGCCAGGGCGGCCGCGGCGACCGCGTGGTGCTGCTCCGTGCCCAGCGAAGTGCGGCGCATGAACTGGCGGTGCATGCGGAGCAGCGCGCCGCACACCAGCACGTTGCAGAGCACGGTGGCGAGGATGAGGAAGGAGCTGAAACCCGCGTACATGTAGGAGAAGGCGGCGTACGCTGTCACGTTGGTGGTCCAGTCGATGAAGCACCAGGTGTCCGGGTACTGCTGCCGCGAGCGGCCAAGGCCCATGTTGGGCAGCGCGCAGAAGAGCACGTTAGATGCGTAGACGGCGAAGAGGGTGAGGCCGGCCAGTCGCTTGTCCACGTAGTGGCTGTAGAAGTAGGCGTGGTTGATGGCCAGGTAGCGCTCTATGCTCATGGCGCAGATGATGCTGAGGCCAGACAGGCCGAAGAAGAGCAGGATGAAGGTGCTGTAGTCGCAGAGCGCCTGGCCCCCAGGCCACTCGCCCTTCATGTAGGTGGCGATTGTCACCGGGCTCACCAACAAGGTGCCCAGTAGGTCGGTGACAGCCAGCCCGCACACCAGCGTGTAGAAGGTCGTCTCCTTCTGCTCCTTACGAGACTTGCAGAGCACCACGATGGCCACCAGGTTGCCCACCACCCCGAAGATGAACATCACCGCCGGGATGGTCACTGGGCTGTTCAGCCGGTCGGTGGTAAAGGAGGCAGATGCATTGACCCCAGCTGTGGACATGGTGGTGGCCCCCAGTGCGCAGCCTTGGAGCGCGCGCCCGGGCCTAGAGACGGTGAAAGAGGAGAGAGCAGTGAGCATAAGTTACCACTTGCAAGCTGTCAGTCCCGAGCCCATCACAATATGCTGCTGAGACAAGGGGAGCAACTCGGTCTCGTTTTCCCGGGTGCAGCCCCTTACTGACGCTGGCTACCGAAATCCCCAGGCTCCCGATGCGTCCTGCCAACCACACCAGCCTACTGACATTAATATTTATAAAGCTGATGACTGCCACTGCCTTCTTCCACCAGTCCGGTTCCCTCCACTGCCGAGAGGAGCAGGACCCGTCTCAAGGGAAAAGTGACTTGCTCGTGTTATTTCTGACACATTCTGAGTCGGCAAAATTCTCACTGAAAACAAGTTATGGACGGGAATTTGGAAGGCAAGCGCGCTCTCTCCTCTGCGGAGCGCCCGACCGCCGGTGCTGCTAGGGGCGACCCCAGCAAGCCCATCCTACCTGTAGCAGCGGCAGGGAGAGCAGATCGGTGAGCCCCGGGGTCCGGCCTCCGATGTCCCGGGCCGCCTCCAACCTGCCTGCAGCCTCGACCCGCTCGGGGGGAACTTGCCGAGCCTTGGCTTCTCGTCTCAGCGGCGGCCAACTTTCCGGAACTGGGGTCAGGGTGCCAGCTTTCAGAAACTTGCAGAGCGAGAAGGGCAGCGGGATGGGCCGTGCAGGCTGCCGTCGGGTTCTTGTTTGGCTTTCCCCCGACTTCAGAGGCGAGTCCAGCTTTGCGGGGTGGCGGTCTGGTCCCGGGGCGCGGCGCCCAGGTGAGCCGCCCGCGCAGGTAGAGCGCAGCGGCGACCCGACTGCGGCCGCGGGCCGAGCGGCGGCTACCGGCGCTGGCGCCAGCCGCGGAGGCCGCTCCTCGTGGCCTGGGGGCGGCTCGGGGTCCACTCGGTCTGGGGTTCTGACTTGGGGCTGTTCATCTTCCTCCTGGCTGCTGGACCTCCAGCTCGGCTCTCGCCCTGCCAGCCTCTGTACAAACTTTTCTCCTCCTTCAAGTTTCCCTGAGGGAGGCGGGACGGAGAGCGCGCGGCCCGGGCGCCCATTGGTTGAGCCGGAGGGGGCGGTGCTGGAGGCGGGGCCTGCACGCCGCGGGGCGGGGCCTGCACTCCGCGGGGCGGCGCTGGCTGAGGCGCTCTAGCCTGCGCCCTGAGAGCGGAGCGCAGAGCCGGCGCCGGGCGGAAGACCTGGGATCCTCGGCCCTTCCTCGGGCAGCCTTCCAGACTGCTGGAGTCGCGAGCAGCGCTGGAACTAGCGTCTCGTCCCCTTCACTTTCCTGCCTCCTGTTTTTCACATCTGTCCGCGGGCTGCAACGCCTGAGTCTCGGAAAGGAGGGCGCTGCTTTAGGACCGGACCCTGGAGTGGCAGAGGAGGGACGGGAGTGTGTGTGTGAGTGTGAGCGTGTGACTGTGAATGTGTGTGAGGCTGTGAGCGTGTGCCTATGTGAGTGCATGTGTGTCAATGCGCGTGAGTGTGTGTGTGAGAGTGCGCGTGTGTGTGTGAGTGTGTGACTGTGTGAGTATGTGTGTGCGCACGTGTGTGCGTACGTGTGTGAGAGTGCGCGTGTGTGTGTGAGTGTGTGACTGTGTGAGTATGTGTGTGCGCATGCGGGACCCATGTGCCCTAGGCCAGACTTGTCGCATCTAGCGGGCGGGCAGGTGACTGGGTATAGGGTCTGGGCGGGGAAACAAGAATCCGTCCTCTCACCATAAAAGGAATTAGTTGGCAGTGCCCGGGGTGCGGGCTGCGCTTGGTTGGAAAAAGAAATAAAAAAGGACGGCACTGAAGCCTCACCTGGCGCAGGTGGCAGAGCCTTGGGTTTGGAGGGAGGCGGCCCGCAGGCACTGGAGTGTAGGTGAGGGCGGGAGGCTGTCTGCCTTTCTCAGGCTGGGGAGCTTGTCCGACTTGAAAGAAGGTAGACTGAGTTTCCGCCTGGAGCCTGTCAGACTCCAGGAATCCTTTGAAAAACAACCGGAGGGTGAGGGAGCTTGAAAGTCCAGCGAGTGAAGGGATTGTCCAGGCGTCAGTTCATGGTTGCCTGGGAAAAACCTAGTTGCCCAGGTCTTTTGTTGGAATTAGATTGTTCGGCTTGTCCGATGGGAAAGAGTTTTCCCGTGTACTCATTATTCACTTCTTTCTATTCTATTTCTAAAAACCAGAAGTAAAACCTTGAAATAGTAAAATGTCAGAAGTAATTACCTCCCAGCCAGTCCTTAAGAAACTAAGCAGCGATGTTGTGTGGACCCTTACACAATTAAAATTCCTAGAAAAAGCCTTTCTGTTTGCAGTACACATGCACTTTAGCGTACTAAATCTCCTTACAGGTTAAGTAGGTAGTTGGTTCCCTTTATGTGATAAAAAGGCACTCATTTCTTAAATGTTATTTCCTGACTGAGCAAACCTGCTAATAATGTACATATCTGGTTCTCTAGTTAGTCTCAGTGAGTAATAAGAGAACCACAAAGGGCATTCCAGATTTCAGCTTATTTCAGGTCATAGAATATCTACACTCATTCCCTGGCATGAGACACCATTTGGAGGTAGCATCACCCTGCGCTGTGTACTGTTTCATCATGAATATTAGAAAGAAACACGCCTTTGCTAGTTAGTATGCAAAGAATGGGTGAGAGTCATTGCCTCAGTCTTCTTAATCACCACTATAACCACTTCTGCTGTCTGTGCTTCCTTTGAGTAGTGGCCTCTAGGGAGCTTCGGCGTGGAGTACAGATCGGCACTAGAGAAAGGAAACTGCACCTTCCGCCCCCGTTCCTCACTAACCGCATCACTTTACCATCACCCAAGTCAGTTGGTTGTCAGTAAATACATGGAGGGGAGGGAGGAAGTTCACTATACTCACTTTCTGCAAATACGTACTTTTTCCGCATTTTCTTTCCTCTTGAGCTCCTAAAATAGGACAGTTAGGATTGGTGTACACAATTTTTCATGACGAAGAATATGTTAAACCTAAAAGCTAACACACACCGCTGAAAAAGTTAGCATGGGCTGTTTATCAATTGAGTTGTTTTTCTTACTAGTGCAATTTTTTTAACAGTAGCTTTAGAAAGAGTTTTTACTTTTTAGATAAAAACAAGTATGCAAGACTAAGAGTATGTAATGAGGTTCATCTATATGCACGGCTCTTAAATTTAGTTTTCAGAAGTAGAAACTGAAGTTTGGGAAACAGTCTTACTCCCAGTTTGAAAAACTGGGACAGTGGAGTCCAGTTTCCCTCACACTCTGCCAGGAACCCACATTGCAAAAGGAACAGAAGAATTACCACACTTACGTGGGAGAGTCTTGTTATTGTTTGTGTATTTCAACAAAGAGATTTTTATTCTAATCACTGGTTTTTCTTCTCTCTTGCAGCTTCTGCCTCAGTGCCTGCTTCTTTACATTGGAGCAGTCTAGTTCAATTCTTCAGGACTGTCATTAAATCCTTTCTGAAGGTTTAAACTAACCTAAGAAATGCCTGCTGGATCAGTTGGATTGCTTGGTCTAGCTGTTTGACTGCTCTTTCAAATAAACACTTTAAGGTGAGAACTCATTTAAAAGTAAAGGCTGCCCAAAGACTACCGACTACGTTCATTCTGATGAGGCTAAGTATTCCTTGGGTCAAATGAAATACAGTAAGGGACAAACAGTGGATTCAATCAGCAGAAATGGGATATAAAGGGAATGATTCTTGGGAGAAAGGCAGCAAGATGAGTCAGATTGGATCTGCACCCTAACTGAGCTACAGCTGGCAGGATCTTAGAGCATTCCCGAAGCACTAACATCCGTATAGTAAAGCCTGTACAAACTGTGTTTGCTTTTGTCTTTCATGACAGACCATGTGGAGATTCAAAACAGAGTGTAAAAGGCATTTATCTGGTACCAACAGCACGGTACCTTTGGACACATTTGTCTTCCACACATCCAGCCTGTTGGTTCAGTGGATTACAAGTGGGGCATTCACACAACCCTGGGGATAGAAAAAGATGCGGTTGTGGCCTTAATGGCATTCCTCCTTTCTAGTGGCACATTCCAAATGTGTGGTCTCCTAATTATTTTCATTTTCTAAGCAGTAATTTTATGCTGAGCCTGGTCTCTGGAGTTGTTACACATGTCACGACTGTGATTAACTCCCTGACATCTTCATGTGGCGATAAATTACTGCTATGGAGGCGGGTTACCGCCAGTGATTACTTCAGGCCTCCTCCTCCGACAATTACACTGCTCAAAGTAATGGCTTTTTGTTGTTTTACTTTTCCCTCCTTTTTCTCCACCAGTTCCACCTCACCCCAATTATGGATTGGGCCAATGGGCAAAGAAAGGAGACTATTTACCTACTGTCACCTATTTTTAAAGTGCAGGTGGAAAGAAAAACCTTATTAGTTCAGGAGTCTCTGAGGGACCTTCTGATTACATTTCAGTTTTTTTCCTCACACCCAAATTGCTGTTTTAACACTTGAAAAGATACCCAGAAATACCCTGGCTTAATAATCAACACCAGCACCAGCATAGCTGTGTTGAATCATCACTTTCGATAACACTCACACTTGCATTCACATGCAATCTTATTAGCACCTCCCTGAGGGCGTTAAGTAGGTGTAACAGAGACTGCCACGTTTTACCAGATCCTGTTTCCACTTCCTCTTGAACACATAGCTGCATGTTGCTCTCAACTGACTTCTGTGGTTAAGTACAGCCCACGTGACAGAATTCTCACCAATGGAATACCCAGAAATGATATGTGCCACTTCTAGGCCTGGTCCGCACAAGACCCTGGTCCTTTGTGTGTACCTCTTCTTTTCTGCCAAGGCAATGCAGGACTCTGACCTATGGCAGAGGCACTTGATAGATAGAAACTGAGTGGGTCCCTGACTGTCTGCATGAAGTGAGGACTTCATTCCTACCCCAGCAACTCTCCCTGGACCATAAATGGAATGAAAATAATCCACTGAAATTTGAGGGGCTCATTTCTGCAGGAAGTTCATGCTGCTAATTTGGTAGGATTGCCTTCATCTGTTTATAGTGAATGAGTATGTGGGGATAGAGAAGCTCAAAGTCACAAAGATTAGTAAGGATAGCTGAAATTTAACCAGTGTTTAGTCTCTATGAGGCACTGTACTAAGTATTGTATAATTTTCTCAACTAACCTATGAGGAGGTACCAGGTAGTAATACCTACACTTTACAGATGAGCAAAGTAAAGTTTGGTGAAGGAACATGGGAGACATTTTTCTTCAGAATTTCCTCCAAAATAGAGGTGGCAATATTTTCTTAGGGGTAATTCTCATAGTAGAAAACTGTGTGCATAACTGTAAGCTGATTGAGAATTCTCTTACAGGAGGCATCTTATTTATTTATTTATTTACTTATTTACTTATTGTTAGTTAGTTAGCTAGGTTTTTTGAGATGAGTCTTGCCTATGTAGTCCAGGTTGGCCTTGAACTCTAGGTGATCCTGCCTTGGCATCTTGAGTGCTAGGATTATAGGCATGTGCCTCTACGTCCACTGAGATATCATTTTTAAAAGATTCCTCAGTGTTTGAGCCCTTTTCTTGTTGAAGGAATCTTCCACTGTGATATTTTTGTTTTGTTTTGTTTTGTTTTTTGTGTTTTTGAGACAGAGTTTCACTATGCAGCTCAGGTTGGCCTTGAACTCACTTTGTAGCTCAGGCTGGAGTCGAACTCACAGTGATCTTCCTGCCTCAGCCTCCTGACTGCTGGGATTGCAGGTGCCTGCCCAAGTATGATACTGTTTTTTTTCATTTAATTTAAAGATAAAAGGAGGGAAACATTAACAGACATACAACATTTTACAACATATCACAAGCACAATACAGAAATACAGAGTTACAAACAAAGTGGTAGGGAATTAACAATGGTGGTTGTATTACATATTGATATCTTCAAAGTGGCTTCTGTATGATACTGTTTTGAAGCAAGACCCAGGCTGTCATAACAAAAGCTAAATGGGCTGGATCTGCTCTCCATCACCTTTAACCAGGTGACTTTGCTTGGCCTATCAGGTACCTCTGCCCACAAATCTGCTCTTGAGGGGCCATCTACAGCAACACCGAGTCTGCGGATGGTGGTGCCAAGGGTCTGACAGTGATAGTGGCTGTGGATTGAGGCATCCTAACTCGGTTAGAATGATGTGAACTTGGCTGAATTTCCGGCTACCAGCTTCTCTGATGGCTCTGCAGCTGGTCATCTTTCCAATAAATTACTTTCCTAATTAAATTGACAGTACTTAGTTTCTGGTGCTGGTAGATAATAACCTTACTTGGTGAATAAAGGTTAAGTAAATTATCCAAGATCATAGTGCAAATAAATGGGAGAGCAAAAATTTTCTTCTAGGTGTCTTGGATTTCATAACTTGTACCCATAATATCTATATTTTGCATTCCAAACTACATCTCAAATTCACATAACTCTTAATCCTCTCTTTTTTCCTTCAGCATTGTGTTTTTATTTTATGAAATAAAAAAAAACAATTTCATAATCAGACACTAAGAATAACAATAGTTGTTACACTGTGTATCATTATCTTCCAAGTAGTTACTCAGAGTATAAGACGTAAACCGAAAGGATTCTTACAAGAAAGAAACAAACAAAATATTGTTTTTGGAATATTTGAAAATCTAAGTTTAAGGCTGTAATAGGTAACATAGGTAAAAGGTAAAAAGGAGTTACTACTCTGTGGGTTCTGTTAAAGGGGGAAATAATATAATCATATAGACAATGTCGTGCTTATAAAAAAAACCCAATAAATTCAACCTGTTATCAGAATAAGTATTATTTCATGTAGTTGTGGTTTCAAAATTCACTTCTAATGATTGTAAAATTAGTTGTTGGGCATAAAATATTTAGGGAGCATCATGCTAACTTGAATATATATAATTTTGATACAATTTATGTTTCCCTGGACCTAACTCCAAATTTCAAACAGTAGTGATGTATATAATTACAAAGAGAGAATTAAGGTAATTATTGAGATAATTTTGGCACTTCCCTTCCTTTAATGAGAAGAAATGAATTACTTCCAATGAGATAATTTACATTGCTCACTTAAATTGCATAAATTAACTGAGATAATTGCTCCGAGATACATTTAATTCTGGCTGTGTGATCACAGTGTAGCTGTTACAGAGAAACATTAGTAAACTTCACTTCATACATAGACGTCACCCGGCCACAGAGTCATTTACAGAGTAAATTCCTGACTTTTTAAAAACATTTTGCGATGCCTTATGAAAAATTAATGCACATTTATTTGGGAGAAGTGAATGTAAATATGCCTGGAAGCAAGGAGGGAATGTGAAGGCTTTGGAGGTAGGGATTGAGAGGAGGACTTTTCCAATCAAAGATGGAAAGAAAAGAAAAGGAAGATAGAAAGAAAGAGAGAGAGGGAGCGAGGGAGAAAGAACAAGAAAGAGAGAATGAAAGAAAGGGAAAGGAAAGAAAGAGAAAGAAAGAACAAACGAAAGAAAGAAAAGAAAGAAAGAAAGAAGAAAGAAAGAAAGAAAGAAAGAAAGAAAGAAAGAAAGAAAGAAAGGAAGGAAGGAAGGAGAGGCCTTTGTGAGTGGTGGTGTGCTGGGGAAAGAAGCTGTGCTTTGTCAGACATCAGGACCCAGCTTGTCTTACTAGACACTGTAGCTGTAGAACCTCTTTTCTTGACATTAGCTCATCGTGAGCACAACTGAGACCTTGTCCTGTAAAAACTGGCAGTGTCCTAGTGCGATGCTTACCACAACCAGTGAAGCACAGGAATCAAAGACCTTATGCTCCATATGAGTTCTATTCTGCATTAGATCCCCCAGCATCTCTGCTTCAATACCTCTGTGCTTATCTAACCTAAGGAGGCTTGGGTATAAATCACTGCCCTCAACTCACCAAACGCATCCCTCATGCACTGTCACATATACATCGGTCCAGCTGACCCAGAACAGAGAAAAGTCATATTTACATTCTCTAGAGAGAAGGGTTGTATTCCTGGTGTGCTCATTGTGCCTTAAATGGCCAAGCCAGCATTTCTTCCTCCTGTTCTGTATCTGTCCTTCTGTCTGTCCATTCAATAACTACTTATGGAGAGTTGGCTGTGTATAAGTGTGTGCTCGTTCCTGCATACACATTTTGAACAGAATGAACAGTTCCTGCCCTTGTGCAGCTTGCTGTATAATAGAGAAATGCCTGGTGTCCAGAAAGGAAAAAGATATTAAATATATAAATAAACACATAAATATACATGTACACATGTGATCCATGTAATGAAATAAAATAGCAGGAGAAACTTCATTCAGATTTGAGACCAGGAATGGTCTGTCTGAGCATGTGGCAGGTTTTGTGAATGGTGTTTGTTTGCTCCTCTCCAAAATGCCTTTCTAGTTAGCAACCATAGGAGGTTATCATCCACCCCAAGTATAGGACCCCTACACATTCAGGTTTGAAATTTCAAGTCCCCATCTCAGGGAAGAAAGATGAAGTCCTGCAGGCCAAGAGCTAACATGAAGATTTTGGAGGCTCTAGAGGACAGTAGATCTCTTGAGAAAACTTGGAACTGAACCAGCTGACTGAGGAGCACTGAATGATGGGAAATCATTGAAGTTTGAAGAGGAAAGCATGACTTGAAAGAATCTGTCTCTTTTCCAGAATCTGTCACTTGTTTGTTAGCTGAGCTTCATGAACCCTTATGAAAAATTAATGCACATTTATTTGTAACACAAGTTTAAAGCTTTTGATTAGGGAAAGAGGAGGAGGGAAATGAAGTAGGATCGTTTGTTGAGGATAATTCCAACTTCACCAACTGTTTAAATTGAAGCAGAGATCGGCTTTAGCCTGCTCTGTTCCTTGTCTCCAGGTCAATGAGTACTAAGTCCAAATGAAACTAAAGGTGTGAGTTAAAACTCTTCAGTGTGAGATCTGAAGGTAGGGGCATCTGAGGAAGGCCAGTCTGTTTCAAACAAGTGAAGTACAGTAGCTGGGCTATTTCACAGGAAAACTTACTCTTTCAAAGAATAGCTATGGTGCTTGATCTAGTAAGAAAGGCCATTTCATTTTTCATATAGCCATCCATTTCATTACCATAAGACCTTTTGATGCTAATGTACTTTGAGTATGTTTGCAATAAGATTATTGATTACATATTAGAGGAACCATGAAATTTGCTTAAAGCAGATTTGCTGAGGTTCACTTGCTTAATTTCACAGAAGGAAAGCAAGTATATTTTTGAGTCCTCAAAATTCCTCCATGTGTATGCTTCATTACAGTATTAATTCATGTTAAGTGATGAACTAATGGCTTTCATTGTGACATTTCTAAGAGTGAGTACATTTTGAAGAGATTTGATTTGAAGGCTGAGAAATCAAATGTGGATTTTTTTTGTCAGTGCTGAATTAGCAAGAAAGTATCAATTATTAAACACCAAATATTTTGTGAAATTTTGGTAGCTGAACAAACAGCATACATTTTTCAAAGCTAACTTGTTGTCTTCATGGTCCTTTTTCATTTGACCGTGTCCTACCACTGCTGTAGGAATTGCAGAACATGGTCTAAGAGGTGGTTCACTATGAATCTGATTAAACTTTGTGCAATGTAAACTTTAATAGCAGTCAGTTTTTACATAAGTTTTCCACCTATAAAATATGTTTTATAGACTAATAAATCACAAACAGAAAAAGAATCATTTAATTTTGTATTTCTTTTTTCTGAATTGCACCCTTTTAAAAACCTTTTGTTTCCCAAATTAAACATTAAAAAATATATTCCCCCCTAGTGGAGATAAAATACATTTTTCTTTTGAGGAGAATATACTCAAGATGAGGTTTTAGCTGAGCTCCGTTAGTTCTGGAGCTCTCCCTTTAGGTCTGCACATGCTGCCCAGTCACCTGAAGTCAAACGTGAAGCTCTAGAAACACTGATTTTGGAAGTGCCCATACCTTCTGGGTTGTCAAAGAATGTCTAATGGTCTCTCATAGCTACATGACAAACTATTCAGCTTTTAACGTCAAATCAAATATCACCCTTGCAAAAGGCTGCTCATAAGAGGGAGAACATTTAACAATATCAACTTAAAAATTCAGTTATGTGTATCCTAAAAGATCCCCCCCCATATCCTTAAGTGTTCAGTTACTTTCTTTGACAGTGGCAAAATATATTTTTGTATCTGACTTTCCTCCCTGTGTTTATTATGTGAGATTTGTGCAGAGGATTAGAGGATGAGGTTGGCTGTTTTACAAATTTGCGCAAACATGTTCATTTCTAGGGCAAGACAGACATCTGAGGCTTTGGTAGGTTTTTGAAAGCTACAATTATCAGAAAAGGTGCCATTCTGCCCAAGTAATCCCTAAACAGCTGTGAGGTTAGTAGGGGACGCGTATTTATTTTAGTAGCTTGGGGGAATCATTTTCTTTACAGAGCCAGTGCCAGCCCCTGATCCCTGAGCTACTGTGCTAATTGTGTGATGCTTTAGGCCTGAGGCAGATGCTAACATCCCATTTCTTCCTTCTCCCTCCCTTCTGGCTTATTACTCATGCCAGACAAGCACTCTACCATTGAGCTACACTCCCAACCCAATGTTTGGACATTTTATTTTGAGTCAGAGTCTTGCTAGGTTGCACAGGCTGGCTTCAAAGTTGTGATTTTCCTGCTGTGGCCTCCTGAGTTGCTGGAACTACAGGCGTGTGTCACCCTACCTGGCTCAGTAACTAACTTTTACTAACCACTCATCAAGTACTGGGCAATGTGCAAAGTACTGTCCCTAATTTACAAATAAGGGTATTGAGACAGAGACAGACCAAGTGACTTTTACAAGGTCACATGGCTCAAAAATGCTGCAACAGAGTGTATATTACTGACTGCTGAATGATATTGTCCCACTTCTGAGAAAAAAAAGAACATTCCAATAAAGAAATAAAGATATAATTTCTGTGAGTAACTTCAGTATGTTCAGTCTAGCCACCTTCTGCCCCTCTCTAAGGCTCTTGGAAGTGGGTGGCAGAAACCGGAAGCAGAAAATTCTTCACAGTATTTCTGCCTTGATCTTGTGCCTATTGTGCAGGGGTAGTTTACCACTTCTGCAATTGCCAGGGAAATTGATAACAGTTTCTAATGACAATTACGCAATTGACTACTTCCTTGTGAAGTTCTGGTTTACTCTGTTCACAAACACATGGCCAAGGTCAACTTTCCTGCTTCGGTTGAGCCTATGCATAGTTCAAAAGAGGAGTGCTGTGTCAATAATGTGAAAAAACAGTGGGTGAATGCAAGGGATGTGCCAGGGATAGTACTAAGCCCCTATTATCTATCGTTGTTAAGCCTATAGTAAATCTAAAAGGGGAGTCACATTGTTGTCCCATTGTAAAAAGGAATAAACTAAGCCTTAGAAAGCCACTCTTCAGCATGTCAGTGGGAGGACAGGTGGTTCTTAACCACTCAACTACATGGG